TCTACCATTGGCTAATTATCTTCATTGAGGTAATTATCTTATTAATGACTAATCTGATGAGTCAGGTTTCAACTGCAGATTTGACGGCAGATATAATAAGGAATAACGAATTAAGAGAAATTTCGAAATGTCAGCGTTTTTTTTTAAGTATTGACACACCAGTTTTCGAGTACCTTTTGCCGGATTCCGAAACACGATGGCAGTAAAGCGCCAAAACCTCCATGCATGCAGAGCAATCTGATGTGGACGTTTCGAGCAACTCGTCGAGATCTCATATCGTCACGAATGACAAGTGATGAGGCGGTGAATAACTGAGTACACTGAACGCTTAATGGGGCGAACTTGTGACAAAAAATATAAAAAGGGAACAGAAGAAAGCAGAGCGTCGCGGGCGTCGAAGTCGGCCTGAGTGCAGAGTCGAACGCTGGGGCGAAATTGACTCCGCTCGCCACGCAGAGCCCCTTATGTACTTGCGTGAGCTTCTGGAATAAACGGCGTAGAATGTTCGACGCGTAGAGCATTCGAACCTCGAACACGCCCAACAGGATTCTCGAATCTACCAGAAAACTAAATTGCAGGAACAACAAAAGATGAGTCGCTTCCAGAAATCGAATTCTGGCTCTTCGCGGGGGAGGCAGGCACGATAACCGTTAGGCCACGTGCGCGCTGCCTCCTTGTCCAGCTGCGCGCGCGGCAATATTTTACACAATACATGGCTATAAACAACAAGAATAACAGACCTCCGGACTCATGTCAAGATATGACGCATTTATGTTTAGTACTCTTGCTTAGGCAAAGTTTCCTGCACCCTGTAAACATCTGCGTGCTCTTTGAAAAAAGCAAGGGTATTCACAAAGATTAAGCAGCAAGAATAAGAGAATATAATTAAAAATAAACGTCGCTAGATTGAACTGAAACAACACAGATATATTTCACACTGCTAAAAGAAGTGTCACTAATTAAAAATGCGCATGAGACACGCCAGTTCAAGATATTTTGTTTAATTTACCAAATCTTGAATATCGATCTCGAAGCCAAAATCTAATAAAAACGCTACATGTTGTAGAAAGTTGAAAGATGTCCGTCCTTGTCCGTCCTGTTTGTTTATTCTTTCTGCAACAGGTTATCAAAACCAACGCGCTCACGTTCAACTATGTTGAACTACGCAGAATTCTAAGCTCTGAAAACTGATATTCCATGCCGTAGAACTGCAGGTGTCTGAATATTTCTTGAATGCTTATTTTTAATATCAATAGAAATTAAGGTTTTACCTTAAAACAATTATCGAGTTTCGCTACATGTTTACAATTGTTTAATAATAATAATAATCTTTATTGGCTCAGGAGAGCAGTGGCAACTTAGAAACCGCGGGACCGCGTGAGTGATGGTGAATATGTAATGATGTAATATACGAGATGAAGTAATGGTGATTATGATATGAAATGCACAAGTACTTTAAGCCTATCAGCGGTCTCCGTGACGGTGGTCTTCACCGGGCCGCCATCGGTTGCTGACTTCTAGAAGACCAGTCTCGAGCGTTTGGAAAGGGCTTCCTGCATTCCCGGCTTGCAGACGAGCCGGTTGAAGTTCCGGCGACGCAGGGAGTCCAGCACCTCCGCGGTGGGGCTCCAGGAATCGACGCCGGTGTTGGCCGGGCGGCGGTCTGCACCGAAGCTAGCCTTGAAGTCTCCCAGCCCGTGGTCGAGCTTGTAACCTTGCGACGTGAGCACCCTGTCGATGGAAGGCATGGTGTGTGCCACTGGTCTGGCTGGCTCTCTAACGATGTAAAAGACACGTCTTACGGTATCTTTGTTAACGTCGTTTTCGTACGATTGAGAGACACAAATTAACCTTCTTGAAAGCATTCATTGTAAAACATTCAGTGCTGCAGAGCACAGGTCTTATCTAAATTTATGAGGGCACGCTACCGACTTTATCTTTGCTATACTATTCACTGAAGTTTAAATTTATTTGGACCATTAGCGGTGATTGAAGTGTCTAAAACTCACAGCCTTTTAAACCCAAAAAGGGTATTTTTGTAAACGGAAGCACCCATTGCCCGCAAGTACTTGCAAGTCTTGCATCTTTATACCCCTAAGAACTTGTGTAAGGGTTAAAATTTCTGTATATTTATTGCTTTCGAGACATTCTGATGACCTCTGTTTGGACATTTGATGAGCTCTTTGATCACTTGTGATTAGGTTGTGTACTTTCCGGTTTTCACCAAAAAACACCCGTAAATATCCACCGGTGTCGAACATAAATATCGGTGAAACCCGGAAAACACAGTTATTGTTTTCAAATTTTCAAACAAGCACAGTTGTTTTTTTTGTTTTTTTTCACCGGAAAGTTGTTCATACTTCACAGTTTTAACCAAAAACACCACTAAACACGCCAGTGCACCTTCTTCAAGACACTAAGTAAGATATTAGCCTACTGCAGCGAAAGCAACGTCGACTACACAGCTGTGCAGAAGCCATCTGGCCCCAGCCATCAAGATCTTGAGCACAGAAGTCATCTCCGCCGACGCCATCAAGGACAGGTGGCCGATCTCGGCGGCGTGTCCTTGATGAATGCACTGACGTCGCGCTGCCGATATAGTGATAAAGCGCTCGAAAGAAGAATCCATTGGAAGGAAAGTTTGGCACACTTTCTGCGTCCAGTTTTAAAATAATTAACGAAAAAAACACCGCAAACTGATTTATATATACTAGAATATTATTTTAAAATTTTTTTTAGCATTGACTGTTTTTAAACTTTTTCCGCAGCCACTTTACGACTTCGTTAACATAGTTATTTTGTGCGTAATAAACAAAATAACAATAGTGGGCTAGATATAGTAAAAAAAAAGTGCTCCCTTACGTTACGAAATATTGGACTGCATTATCTTCATATTAAGTGCTAGGTCAAGAATGAATTCAAAAATTATTTGCACTAGCCTGCATGATATACTATGCAAATGTCAATAAAAATTAAGTTAATCAACATTCACTTTTTTTTGTGCAAATTGGCTATTCATAAATACAGTGGATGATCTTTGACTTTAAATTGCCAATGAACTTTCTGGTGCGCGGAGAGCCTCCCTACAATGATGTAATCAGCATTGAATATATATCTGGGTGGTTTATTTAAAATCGAACACGCTTGTCGAAATGGGTCTTTCGACTTTTTTTTTTAAATATACGCAATTGCCCCATTTCTGGACAGAACAAAACCGCTTTTCAATCTTTTTTTTTAATATTTCGCTTCACAAAAAATTATTGAGCGGAGCAGGGTGAAAATCAGTTTTTTATTCTGTGATTTGTCTACCCAGTTCTGTACGCTGGTATGAAAACGGGAAGTATACAAAACTCACAGTAATTTTTTGTACTTTTGTATGTGATTTTGACTATTTTTTAGTCCAAAGGAAAATACTTTCGCATTTTTGTTTATTGAGGTAAAAAAATATCAAATATCGTCCCTTTGACAATCCGGTGACATATTCAGAGCCTTGTAACTCATGGGTTATTATATTTGTCTCTTATTAAATACCATGCGGGTGTAGCCCTCTAGATGGGCTATCGACGGAAATAAATTTAGTTTATTTTATTTTCACTGAATGTTTCATATAAAATTTTAAATATCGTCGAAAATAAAATTAAACGATATTTTGAACCCACTTTATCGAAAAAGACCAGTTTTTATTTCGTTCAGTTTTTTATTATTGCTGCCGATCATATGAGCTTCAGTTGGCTTGATGCGATTTCCACATTTTTTTGTTGTATCTTCTCTAGAAGTGATCGAAATCGCTCCCACGTGACAATGGGGTGACAACTTCAGAGCCTTGTAACTCATGAGTTATTATATTTGGCGCTTACGAAACAGTATGCGGGTGTAGCCCTATACATGGAATATCGATGGGCAACGGTTTGGTTTATTTTGTTCTCACTGAATTTTTTTATATGAAATTTGAAATATCGTCGAAAATGAATTTAACTGGTATTTTGAACCCACTTTATCAAAAAAGGCCATTTAATATTTCGCTCAATTTTTTTTTTTTTATTATTGCTGCCGATCATATGAACTTTCAATTGGCTTGATGCGAGTTCCCCCTTTTCTTGTTGTATCTTCTCAAGAAGTGATCGAAATCGCTTCCACGTTCTCAGAACGGCCAAACGGAATTTCCGCAGGTCGGCTTCGCTGCAAAAACTGTACTGCGTATTCGTGTGTTCCAATGCAGCGGGTAAATTAATTTCGATTGAGAATACTGATGCTTGGCTATATATTGTATTTTCTTAATTTTTTAATGATGGCAACTGACATTCCTTAGCCTTATAGTTAGCGGTGCAGCGGATGTTCCATTATCCGACGTCTACAGCCAGGGCACAAAAGGCGGAGAAAACGGAACGAGCTCTTCATGTAACCAGGCCGGGGTCATACATCTGTTTGTGTAATACACACGTTGTAAGGCTTGAAGCACCTCGCCACAGTACACAATTTTCGTTCGCAGGACGGCTCCTTGAAGCGGACGTCAAAGGACTTCGTTAAAAAAAATTAAAACAATGACAAGGAGCGTTCAGCTTTACGACTTACCGGAGGAAGAAATCGAGAAATCGGAAATAAGAGCAAAACAACTGATGTTGGTTGTAATGATAAACAGGGTCTTTTAAGTTATCCCAGAGACGAATTGAAGGTGAAAGCCAAAGCGCCGATGTGAACGGGATACCGAACCTCCGAAGATAGTGTTGGGTCATCATGTCCGAATCTAATGTCATGTGTCGGTTAACTGTGACGTCACTCTTTAACCTATAGATAGCGCGGCTGCTATCAGTATAAAAGCAGCCGTGAGTGTGCCTACGGGTTTGTTGTATTCTTGGCATCATCGAATAAACATGCAAGCTACAGAAACTGAGTACTTCCCTAGAGGCTAAAACAGTGGCGACGAGGATGGGATAGCCGAGAAGACAGACGCCAGCACTGTCATCGGCAAAAACCCAAGCGCCTTGACCGAGGACCACGGGATGGCTTCGTGCGGCGGCCGGTTCGAGCAGTTCATCGAAGATGCGGAGGAAGACTTCGAGTCGTACGTCGAGCGGATGGAACACTATCTTCGAGCAACGAAGGTGAGCGACGACTTGAAAGTCTCGGTCTTCGTAAGGGCCATCGGGAAGCAAGCGTACCGCACGTTGAAGACGCTGTTAACACCAGTAAAGCCAGAACAAAAGGACTATGCGCATCTGGTCGCGGTCCTCAGGGAGCATTACGCTCCGAAGCCGATGGTAATCGCCGAGCGATTCAGATTCAACCGGAGGGCCCAGCTCGAGAAGGAAACGGTGGCGACATACACGGTTGAGTTAAAAAGGCTCGCGGCCACCTGCGAGTTCGGGCAGTTCCTGGATGAAGCACTCCGGGACCGTTTTGTCGCGGGGCTAAAGGACCAGGCAGCCCAAGCAGAGCTTCTAAAAAAGAAAACTCTAACTTTTTCGGCGGCATGCGACATTGCCAGAAGCATTGAACTCACACGAGCAGAGACCAAGATATTTCAGCCAGCAGCCTCTGAACAACTAGAGGTAAACGCCGTCCAACGTCTAGGCCCACACAGGAACGTCGGAGCGGCTACCAGGAAGGCGACGATGGAAGTCAACACTGAGAGGCCCGAGGCGTCAGGCTGTTTCCGCTGCGGAGCACCCCATCACGAGTCAAGTTGCCCGTTTCGGAAGTACAAGTGCCGAGCGTGTAGACGAGTGGGGCACTTGGCAAGGGCCTGCAAAGCAACGTCCCGTTTGGTGCAAGCCGTGGACGACAGCAGTGGTGAGGAAAAAGTTTGGCTGTACAACATTGGCTCCTGCAGTGCTAGAAAAGGGGGTTACACTACTGAAGTTCGAGTGGCGGGAACACTGGTGACAATGCAAGTTGATACAGGAGGCTCGGTTTCCATTGTGCCTGAAGAGGTGTATAAGCAGTACTGGCCTGGATTGTCTCTCTCAAACTGCCGCCTAAAGTTGAAAACTTATGGGGGCGTGCCTTTGGAGGTTTTAGGCAAGTTGATAGTACCTGTGGAGCACAATGGGCAGACCATGACGTTGTCGCTTGTAGTGGTTCGCACACCGCAGAAATGTGAGACTGTGTTAATGGGCCGCGATTGGCTAGAAGCGTTGAGGCTAGACTGGATGAGCGTGTATGGGGTTAGTCTAGACCAAGTGGCAGGGCTGGTTGACCGATTCTCGCAGGTGTTTGAGCCTGAGCTGGGATTAATCGCGGGCAGTCAAGTTAAATTAGTATTGAAGGACGACACGACCCCAGTCTTTTGTAAACATAGAACTGTACCATTCGCTTTAAGAGAGTCAGTAGAACAAGAGTTGCATGCGCTCGTGAAAACGGGAGTCCTGGTCCCGGTTCAGCAGAGTGAGTGGGCAACACCGTTGGTCGTTGTCCCTAAGCCGAACAACAAAGTGAGGTTGTGCGGCGACTATAAAGTGACGCTGAACCCGAATCTCAGAACAGACCACTATCCCTTGCCGGTAATGGAAGACGTGTTTGCAACGCTACACGGGTGCAAATATTTCACGGTACTTGATCTTTCTACAGCGTACCAGCAGCTGCAACTGCACCCGGATTCGCAGTCACTTGTAACTGTAAACACGCATATGGGCTTGTTTAAGTACACACGCCTTCCATACGGCATCACGAGTGCACCGTCTATTTTTCAGGCTGTAATGGACGAAATATTGAAGGGCCTTGACAGAGTATCATGCTATCTTGACGATGTGTTGATAGCCGGAGAAACTGCAGAAGAATGTTATCGAAAAGTGGAAAGCGTGCTGACAAGGTTCAAGGAGCGCGGTATCAAAGTAAAAAAAGAAAAATGCAAGTTTCTTCAGACGTCGGTGGCTTACTTGGGCCACGTAATTGATAAACATGGGATTCGGCCTTCCGAGGAAAACCTACGCGCAATCAAACAGGCGCCAAAACCCCAGAACAAACAAGAGCTGCGAGCGTACCTGGGGCTGCTAAATTTCTACGGGAAATTTGTTCCGAACATGTCAGCAGAGCTGAAGCCACTTCACCAGTTACTAAGTGACAGCACCAGTTGGAATTGGACCGTAGTGGAGGAAAAAGTGTTTCAAGAAACAAAACGGTGGCTGACGCACGAACGAGTGTTGACTTACTACGATCCTGAAAAGGACCTCGGTCTTGTATGTGACGCGTCGGCGTACGGCGTCGGCGCGATACTCTTTCATAAAGTTGGTACTGAGGAGAGGCCCATCGCTTTCGCGTCTAGGACGCTCTGCAAGGCGGAGCAAGGCTACGCGCACATTGAAAAAGAGGCGCTTGCAGTGGTTTTTGGTTTAAAAAAATTTCACAAGTTCCTCTTCGGCCGAAAATTTTGCATCTACTCTGACCATCAACCACTGGTGGGAATGCTGGGGCATGGTAAGCCGATTCCTGCAATGTCAGCAGCACGCGTGCAGCGCTGGGCCTTACTGCTTGCCGCTTATAACTATGTTTGGGTGTATCGAAAATCCAGTGATATAGGAAATGCCGACGCGCTTTCACGGCTACCGCTGCCAAACAAAGATGAGTCAGAGTGCGTGCAGTTCTTTTCGGCGCTAGACGAAGCTCCGCTATCTGCAAAAGAGATAAGACGGGAAACGCGAAGGGATCAGTTGTTGTCGAAAGTGCTGTTCTACACACAAAACGGCTGGCCTTCGAAAGTTACAGACGATTTGCTAGCGCCTTACTATGTTCGACGTAACGAACTGTCAGTCGATCAAGATTGTGTAACTTGGGGTAATCGCGTAGTGGTTCCGTTGTCACTCAGAAGTAGCGTCTTAACGATGCTGCACGAAGGTCATCCGGGGATGACGCGAATGAAAATGTTGTCCAGGTGCCACGTTTGGCGGCCTCGTCTAACACAAGATGTAGAGCAAACAGTGAAACAGTGCGTCACGTGTCAGCTGTCGCAAAACGCTGCGCCCAAGGTACCCTTGTTGTCGTGGGGTTGGCCTAAGCGTAGATGGGAGAGAGTGCATATAGACTATGCGTATCGCGATCAGCAATGGTTTCTTGTGCTGGTGGACGCCCATTCTAAATGGATTGAAGTGTTTGTGATGAACAGTACTAGTAGTGAGAAGACCGTGGAAAAACTGCGCAGTGTGTTTGCGGCATACGGGCTACCGGAAGAGGTAGTGACCGATAATGGGCCTCAATTCACATCAGCAGATTTCGAACTCTTTTTGAGTAGAAATGGCGTCCTACACAGCAAGTCTCCGCCCTACCATCCCGCCTCCAATGGCAGCGCGGAACGCTGCGTACAAACCGGGAAAAAGGCTTTGTTTAAACAAGTGCTGGACGAGCAGAGAAGCGGCCATGCGAAGTCTCTGCAACATCGCGTCGATCAGTTCCTATTTAGTTACAGGAACACACCCACCGGGACAACCGATGAAACTCCGGCCCAGCTGTTCCTGTCCTGGAGGCCCAGAACAAGACTGAGTCTGCTGCACCCCGACATAGAGCAACGAATGAAAAAGAGACTCGAGCGAACCAAAGAATACGCAGACCAGCACCGGGGGCCCTGGAGAGAGTTCTCTGAGGGTGACCAAGTTATGATAAAAGGCTTACGGGCCGGAGATTCCAAATGGCTGACGGGCACAATAAGCAAGCGTGTGAGCCAAGCTACGTATCTGGTTTGGGTGGGGGGGGAAGAGCGGTACATTCATGCTGACAACCTGCGGCCAAGATCATTTCAGGCTGACCTGAGGACACCTAACCGACTGGAGCAGTTTTCGGACATCGAGACCGATACGGCTACAACTGACAATGAATCACCTGACGACCATGACCCGGCACAAGCAGAGAACGGAGCCGCGACACCACGGGCACCTGACCCAGGCCGCAGCATACCCAGTGCTGTGACTGTTGGTCCCAATGCCCCACCATCGGACAACCGGGCCTCCAGACTGGAATCTCCGCCGGCTTCTCCACTCTTGCCTCGGCGCAGCACACGGCCAAGCCGACCTCCAGAGCGCTACAAGCCGTAGACTCCACAAACTTTCTAAAGGGGAAGGAATGTTGTGTCATCATGTCCGAATCTAATGTCATGTGTCGGTTAACTGTGACGTCACTCTTTAACCTATAGATAGCGCGGCTGCTATCAGTATAAAAGCAGCCGTGAGTGTGCCTACGGGTTTGTTGTATTCTTGGCATCATCGAATAAACATGCAAGCTACAGAAACTGAGTACTTCCCTAGAGGCTAAAACAGATAGCACGCTCTCTGGCGAAGCATTTTTGGCGCCGTTTTATTGACTCACTTGGATCGTGGCGTCGGCTGTGGCCCCGGTAATAGTGAACCTCCGAAGACAGCGGGCTCTCTGACGACGCGCTTTTGGCGCACTTTCATTGGTACCTTTCGTTTTGGTACCTTTCGTGTCGTTAACAAGTTTTTGTAGCTTTCGTGTCCCGGACGTGTTTTCGCTCAAGCACTTTGAAGGTCGACTGGACGATGAGAAATATAAGGCTTTCGCTTTTATAACTGGATGTAGTGATCCTGTCTACTTCTGTATTTCTCGCTTTAACTGAGCCTCTGGCGGCTCAAATTGTGGAACTGCTCTCTCGGGAATCCGAGATGCATGCGCAAGTGGTCCGTGTCCTGGCGCAAAGGTAGGTGATAGCCTGGAGTTGATTTCGGCGTCCGTGTCAAGGTTGTCTCCCAAGTTCGGTCAGACCCGCCTACGGTGAACTCGGTGGCGATGAGGAACCTCTCGATTGGCCAGTTGTACTTTGTAGGAGACTGGTCCCGTCACTGCCACAACCTTCGCTGCATTTCAGCGTTGTTCCGTCCTGGAGTTCCAGACGTACACAGCGTTTCCTACGTGGAACCGCTGGATCCTTCGTTGATCGGAGTCTGGGTGTTTCTAAAGGTCTGGGTGATGTTTATATAATTATGGTTCATAAAAAATGCAGTACTTAAATTTTGTGTAGAAGGCCACTTGCTTGCAAAAAGTTGAGGACCCGATTGAATGGAATGATGGGATGCTCGCATAAAAAAAGTGTTGGATGGAAAGGAATCTGATACGTAAAAAGCTCTGGAAGACAGGCAAGCCGGTTCTACTCAAAGCCTGGACAGGCAGAAAAAATATGCAAAATTGTCAAAGGTTCACCCCAATGCTCGCAGCTTGGAGCGTCTTCTCCACAAAGAAGATGTCCGTGAGTCAGAAAGATGTGGCCAATTCTAAGACGGCACAAGAGAGCCTCATGAAAACGGTTTTTACGAGATGAATTCTACCACAACCCCAAAACTGGCTTAATAGCATGCAGGTTATTTGCACTCTCTATGTTCCACTCAGATTGCCGAGCATCGAGGAGAGCTTTCCTAAGGAGGGGTTTGATATCTTGAAAGGTTATGCCCCGTCGGGCTTCTAGGAGATTGCTCGTAGAGGTAGCCAGCTGGTCTGCTTTCTCATTGCTTTTTATACCAACATGGCTTGGGATCCAGCAGAATTTGGTAACGAACCCACGCTCTAAGCAGCAATTGATTTTATAGCGTATTAGCTTAGCGAGCATGTTTTTTGTATCTCTTACAGAGCAAAGGGCAACGATGACACTTTGGGAGTCTACAAAAAGAATTGCCTTCATTGTTTTGCTGGTGGTGATATACTCGATTGCAAGGAGAACACCATATAGCTCCGCAGTAAAAATACTAGCCATGCAGCTAAGCCGCTGGGCCTGTATGAAAACCTCAGAATAAACAGCCGATCCCACTGCAGAAAAAGTCTTGGAGCCATCTGTATAAAATTGAGTATAGTCATCATATTTATTCTGTAAGCCAAGAAATTCTTGTTGAATAAGCCGAGGGGAGACATTATGCTTGCTATACCGTGTGAATGACCAGTCGCATGATACTGGAAGCATTTTCCAAGGGGGAATACTCTCGGCTTTTTGGAGAAGGTTAATGCCATGAAGGTCTAGACCGAGAGATGACTGATCACCGTGAACACGAACACTCAATGGCCGCACAATGCTTGGTTTATTTTCAAAAAGACGAGCAGATTGAGATTGCTGGAGAGCAAAAATGGTTGGATGGTGAGGATCAGACAAAATCCTGGAAGTGTAGCTCAAGTCAAAGTACTGCCGTCGCTTGGGAAGGGGCATCTGGTGAGAGTCCGCGTACAAGCTAAAAACAGGCGATGTCCGAAATGCACCCGTAGCAAGGCGCAAGTCAATGTGGTGTACCGGGTCCAACATCTTCAGGGAGGATGGTCGCGCTGAGTTGTACACGACGGCACCATAATCAAGACGGGATCGTACCAAAGCGTTATACAAGCGTAGCAGGCATAGTCTGTCAGAGCACGAAGATTTATGTGACAAAATTTTCAGGATGTTTATGAATATCGGGCACTTTTGTTTCA